AGTGATTGATGCGTGTTCATTTCACACCCGCCTGATATCGACAAGGCAAATGCATCATGTTCTGTATGTCTATATCACATATCCGTATCACATGATCAGTTGGTTAAATAATGAGGTCAGTTAGATACAGATGATGCATTTTGCTTAGAAATCGATGTCATGATGAATCTACCAGATGATACCGTAAATAACGTCTTCATGGTACATTTTCCATCGAGCTACATGAACAGTATGACCATGATAAACGAGGCTGGCAGTTGCACTATTAGGGTGAGATACTAGATTCGTTAATTGGCTGGCACCGTGTAATGGCGTTGTGTATCTGTTCATGTCAATTATGTCCTTTCGAGATCGCGAAAACCAATACTTGATAGAAGAAACAACTTTACTGCTTTTGACGATGATATCACTGTTAGCCTGATGCGTGTGACAAACATCTGATTTGTTTGACCGGTACCAATATTTGAGCAAGTAATTTTAGCGCCCAATTGCAAGTCCAATGGTTTGGTCACTCTATATAGGTCATTTGGTCACATTATCTTATACAAATGAACTCATCACCCTATACAGCTGGTATGACCACCCAAATGATCACTAATGGCTAATTTGACCACCGATTCAAACGACCTGATCATCAGTATGAAGAACGTTTGATCACATGATTCAAATGACTATGATTAGTTTCACCGCCGATTCAAGTGACCTGATCACCGTATATGGTCAATTTGAACACCCGATTCAAAACGACATGATCGGCAGATGGAGCCGATGTGACCACCCGATTCAAACCAAGTGATCTTATTGTCACATATATCCGATTTATTCACCCGATTCAACTGATTTGACAACCAAATTAAAATTACTTTGTTGTCACGTACATGTGGCTTCTTATTACTGCAAAGCATCTGTTGTGCAAGAGGCAAGAGAGGGACAGTGCGTCATCTATAGTACACCAGTGATGATACTAATTTAGAATGCGGTAGGTCAGTTTGTTTCTAAACTGGCCGCAATGTGTAAAATCCAATCTTGGTGTTGCCGACTTGAAACGACATGAAAAATGCTCAGGTGTACCTGTACAAAACACTACTGACTCAATGTCGTTTTGTAGAAAACGTTTACTCAAAAGTTGTTTGATCGCGGTTATAAGATTCAAAGCCTTAGGTTATCGTTCAAAATAAATGTTATGATAGACAAGTGGACGTTTACATTATTGACACATCATTGACAAAAACGATGTCACAATGCCATTCCAGAGGTGTCTCTATGTTTCCATGTCTGTTCAAGTGAACGCTTGAATTGCCTTTGAATGTGTTTGTGACTGGTGACACTGGTGGGGCAAGATACGCTCACCTTTTCGCGAACACCTGGTCTTATCACTATTGGATAGCGATTAATTTCCAATGACTATGATATAGTCTGAAGAGTACAATGGACTCTACTTTTAGAAGAGACTTCTTATTTACACAATAGGGTCAAACGTAGCTCGACGTCTAACGGGGCGGTCGGGTAGCCTGGTGGTTAAAGCGTTCGCTCGTCACACCGAAGATCCGGGTTCGATTCCCGACATGGGTACAATGTGTGAAGCCCATTTCTGGTGTCCCCCGCCGTGATATTGCTGGAATATTGCTAAAAGCGGGGTTAAACCATACTCACTCACTCACACTCGACGTCTAACTGCCAACAACACCACAGATCCACACATGAGGTCAATGTGAATATATATTAACAACACCCGAACCCTCAATTGCCCTGTGTGTAAAGATGACACGGACGCAGAACACAAAGTATAAATGGTCTATATTTTGCGTTCGTCTGAATATCAGCCGGGATGATGTCAGTAGTCTATCACATTTTCGTTCTGTTCCACATCTGTACATCCCCTCAGATGTGTGCTTCTGGTACATGGACACGTGAACAAGTACAGACATAATAATGACTGAATGATCGTCTGACCAGCAATTATGATCTCAGGCTTTCGCCAATGGCAATGCACAACACAATATTCCGCTATGGTATTGTCGATGATGTCGTTGTTGTCGTATGCGCCACATTTACTGCTACAGCTGCGGACATAGTTTATATTGGAATGACTGTATCGTTCGAATCATATATTCAGACACTTTGCTATAAAACTACGTAGCGGTATATACCACCGAAATAAAGAAGGGCGGTACATTTCACGTTTGGACGTAGTTTTATTCAGACCAATTGATTTCTGAGGATTTGTCCCAATGTACTGAACATCCATTGTGACTGAGAGGGTTTTGTCTCATTTATAAAGTGCCACATTGCCATCGAATGTATTGTCGAGAAATTGTTCTTCCTATATGTCAAATATGAAATTCGACTCTTTAAGACATCTACAAATTTTTTATCTTTTAAATTAAGGTAATGATATGGATGTTGCTGCAAGTGTGCTAAACAGTTTCAATCCCCAGACAATACGAATTGGTAAAACATGTTCTCATTCATGTTGAACAGGGGGCGGTCGGGTAGCCTAGTGGTTAAAGCGTTCGCCCGTCACGCCGAAGACCCGGGTTCGATTCCCGACATGGGTACAATATGTGAAGCCAATTTCTGGTGTCCCCCGCCGTGATATTGCTGGAATATTGCTAAAAACGACCTAAAACCATATTCACTCACTCACTCACTCATGTTGAACAACAAACTGCCCAAAATGCCTCATGGTGTTCACGAACCTACCACCATTGTCAACCTATAATTAACCGAGCCATTGTTGTCTATCGCTTACCTATAGGTTTCCATTTCAATGAAACCCGACCTTCTAACAATCAAGTACTTTATCGACATTTGCAAAATGCATGAAAGATAAGGATACGGTCCTAATACCAAGGTTTCCATTGGATACACTTTACCGCTGGCTGCATCCTGTTATTGCTATCTGTGTGTATGGCTTAGTATATATGCTACAGGGGCTCATTCAGTTACAAAGAATGTAGATATACACTTTATTGATTGGCGAAAACATATATGTCGTTTCCATGGCAAATGTTTAATGTCATGTTGTAAAACGAGAGGTCTCTCTAGTTCTATGTAGATGTCAGCACATATTGTTATGCATCTCATGGTCTAATTCGAACACTGCCGAGGCATCTTATGTCTAAATTCATACGCTCTTCCTGGGCCCTCTCAGTGTGTTATATTTGCATTAAAGTCCACAGAGAAATGCTAATGTCCTCGGAGACTTCTACACCATTCGCTAACACGATTAGTTCGATGTAAGTATAATCTTGAAAGGCGTTATCAGCCACAGAAGGTTTTCTTTGTCAATACAATGTCAGAGGTATAGTGCCTGACGCTTAAGTCACAGTGTACACATGTACAACATATAATTGCACAATAAACAATTACAACATGTTGTCATTAACGAGTTATTCCTACAGTAAACTACGGTTATAACGAACTCAAAGGGACTACTAATTTTAGTTCGTTATAACCGTAGTTCGTTATAAGCTTGTTCGTTCCTTAGAACCTGACAAAGTGTTCGGATCTCAGATTAAAATCTTTGTTTGTCAGTAAGGCATCCTTGGTCACTGTTTTTGTTTTGAAAGTGGTGAAGAGGGGGAGGGGGCGAGGGGGGGATGTGGGGTAGCCAGGCAGTTGTCTGTAAATGAGCTAAGACCATGATATGTTGTTCAGTGCGGGCCTCAATAAACCCAATACTATAGTCCATCTCCAAAGACGTATGGGTGGATGTGTTTTTTATTTCCTTTTTATTTAATATAACTGTGTCCGAGTTAATTTTAATTGCTATTTTGTAAATATTTTAGTGAAGTCTTTTCATTGTCTTGTTTCGGTTTCTTGCCGCTTCTGTCTCAAGCTAGATTACTTGTGCAGAATAGAAATTTTTTATTAGCTCCAGCACTCATATAACTATAAACTTAACAATAGACATCAACACAAGCGTCTTGCTTTGTGTTCCTTTTCTAGCTTCTTATTATGAGAGACAACTTTTCTTCTGTTTTAGCTGAGTTTGCCAAATCAGATGCTCAGATACAAACAGTCAGTTTTGTTTCATAGTTTGCGAATTAGCGGATGGTTAGATTTGTGTTGTTTCTAAGACACAAAAGATTGTGCGCAGGATTTCTGTAATAAGGTTAGTTTGTGTTTTGTTCTTAACACCTTAACCACTAGGCTACCCCAAAGCCCCTGATATCTTTAGATATTCTACCAACTGTGTAGCTGGTATACTTTCTCTCTTAATTCGTTAAATAATTTAGATAAATCTAAACTAAATTTATAATCAAATTCAGCTATAAATCATTGCTTAAATATTATCTAATGACATGTATGAATGCAGTATTTATGTAGATTAAGATTGAATGGATACGTATGGAAAGGCTATTTTACATGTTCTTAATTTTATTGGCCATTTACTGTTTCTTATCAAGCCTTATATGTTTTCAAATTTCTAGGAATGGCAGTTGAACTGATGGTTGCTGTGATCTTGACCATCTTATACAAAGTTGCCAGCCCACTTGCAGTGGTAGGTTATGAGTATATTGTGTTTATATCATAGCGATTTGTAGAGGTGGTAATAATGTAACGTATCAAGTAATGTAGGTTCTGATTTGGCTTAAACTCACAAGTTTAACTGTAACTCCTGTTCTGCATGTTCATGTTACATTAATGTATAATATCAAGTGTAAATAATATTTCTATTTGCATGGCATATTATTTTGGATGAGCCTTGTATCTAAATGTAGTTTATGCATCGGTGTGTTGATACTATGCGATATGTTTGTATCATTTCATCTATTAGACATTTTCATTGCATTTCTTAAGCATTTTTGCAAAGCTAGACCGGCTAGTACACGTGCAATGCATATTAAATAAAGATACAGCTGTCAACTCACACCCCAGAATCTTGTTCTGTGTATTCCTGTAATAACCGGAGCCTTGCACGCTACTTCATAACAACAGTTATTCTGTCATGGTGGGTGTTCTTTAATTTATTTGAGTACAATATTTTGACTTACCTTGACATGTCCCTGTAGCGTTTTGACAGGAGAGATCTTTAAGTGAGTCACAGATGTCTTTGCTGTTGCAGAAGTCACCACGTTGTCGTGCACACATGTAGCAACAGCTGCAGCCGTCCTTCACGATGTTCACACCCTCGTTACATCGAAGTTCCTCCACTGGGCACTGGCATGGGTACCTGCACAGCTTGTTTTCCTGCAAGACCAGACGTGGAAGTTATAGACACACCAACAATGTTACACTGTAAGCTAACTATATGTAAGGGGGAATGGGTAACTGCACAGCTTGTTTTCCTGCAAGACCAGGCGTGGAAGTTATAGACACACCAACAATGTTACACTGTAAGCTAACTATATGTAAGGGGGAATGGGTACCTGCACAGCTTGTTTTCCTGCAAGACCAGACGTGGAAGTTATAGACACACCAACAATGTTACACTGTAAGCAAACTATATGTAAGGGGGAATTGGTAACTGCACAGCTTGTTTTCCTGCAAGATAAGACGTTGAAGTTATAGACACACCAACAATGTTACACTGTAAGCTAACTATATGTAAGGGGGAATGGGTACCTGCACAGCTTGTTTTCCTGCAAGACCAGACGTGGAAGTTATAGACACACCAACAATGTTACACTGTAAGCAAACTATATGTAAGGGGGAAGGGGTAACTGCAGAGACTGTTTTCCTGCAAGATCAGACGTGGAAGTTATAGACACACCAACAATGTTACACTGTAAGCAAACTATATGTAAGGGGGAATGGGTAACTGCACAGCTTGTTTTCCTGCAAGATCAGACGTTGAAGTTATAGACACACCAACAATGTTACACTGTAAGCTAACTATATGTAAGGGGGAATGGGTACCTGCACAGCTTGTTTTCCTGCAAGACCAGACGTGGAAGTTATAGACACACCAACAATGTTACACTGTAAGCTAACTATATGTAAGGGGGAATGGGTAACTGCACAGCTTGTTTTCCTGCAAGACCAGACGTGGAAGTAATAGACACACCAACAATGTTACACTGTAAGCTAACTATATGTAAGGGGGAATGGGTAACTGCAGAGCTTGTTTTCCTGCAAGACCAGACGTGGAAGTTATAGACACACCAACAATGTTACACTGTAAGCTAACTATATGTAAGGGGGAATAGGTACCTGCACAGCTTGTTTTCCTGCAAGACCAGACGTGGAAGTAATAGACACACCAACAATGTTACACCGTAGTCTACCACATGTAATTGGGCATGGATAACGGTACAGCTTGGTTTCCTGCAAGACCAGACGCGGCAGTTATAGACAAACCAGCAAAGTTACACTGTAACATTCTACATACAAGGCATGCCGTGATATAATCTGGAACTACGGCGGTAAACACAACTCAATCACTAAGTCTACAGTTACCAGACATATGCAAAAATTCGTGATATATATGTAAATGTAAAAGGGATTCATGTTGGTCTGTTATTGTGTCTGCAAGGGAACAGGGCAGCTGGTTACCTAATGGACAAGCAATCTGAAATATTGACCCTCGCAGTATCTGTGTGTAGTCGTCATCTTGCTCGTTTTTATAAACATTCTTGAAGGCTCAAACAGTAGTCATTTAGATATGGGGACACGTTATTCCTTTCTCAAAATAAGACCATTTTCAAGTTATTTGAAAATCAATATAGGATTTAACAAAACACATTCCAATATTTCTTCAACCTTTTTTGGCTTAGAAGACAAGATGAAAGCACTCCAGAAAATATTGAACCAGACTACATTTTCCGTGTTGATAAATAACTTCATTATGTAAATACTGAACATTACAACTCCTCCAGTTCTTCCATGGTAAAAACAAAACATTCAGGCATAAGGTGACAACCGTCGATATTGGGAAAGGTTATTGGACACTGGCTGATCATTTCGTCAATTTAAAACTTAATCCAGGGAAGGAACATGAAATTCCGAATGGATTGTAATAACGTTTTTGTATATGACATTGAGTAACAGCGCCAAATTTACATCTTCCTGCTCCTCTGAGTAACCCGGAAATCCATACTTGGGTTTTACTTTTGCCCTTCATGCGAAGATTGTGCATTCTGATGTGGTGATAGACGCTGCCCTCTGGTGACATAAAATCTCATTCCATCTCCAAGATATCAACATTGAAAGACGTTTCGCTCTGACGTAAAATCGAAGTACCAGGACATCCTCTGTACGAGTAATAATCCAGACATTCCATTTCCAAACTGATGTAATCCACCCTTTATATCTCACCTGATAGAACTTTGGAAAAAAAAATCAAAATTTTAATTTTAATATTTCTTAAAGTTATTTTGATGAAACCGCAGAGAGAGGTCATATAATAAGACCTGCATAAGACATTATCAGAAAGTTGACAGTCTTAGTTCAAAAAAATAACATGTCGAAGGGGGATAACCGCTTTTTGCTTGGATGCGTACCCTCTTTGTTCACTGTTAAACTACTTCAAGAAATGTATTCGGCCCATTCAAAATTGGGCCAATTTAACACGGACCCCATCAAGTCCTGACAATATTTTCATCGATTTTTACAGCAATAGGTCCCACTTTCTGACCCAATGACAAGTTCAATTAATTAAAGCTGACCGGAGAATTAATTATACACCTTAACAATGAAGAACCAACGATTCAAGAAACAGTCACTTCAAAACGAATTGACAGAGGAATTCTTCCCGATTAATAGCATTCCCATTCCCTTTATTGCTAGTTCTCCCAGCTTTATTGCGAGAAGGTGGTGAGTGCAAACGAAGGTCTTATATTTCTCGTTAGACCTCAAGAACCTTCGGCCATGAGCCTCGTGGATATGAGCGTTCTTTCCAAGTGTTGGATCAAAGCCAAGGTTTGTTCAACAATATTGAACTTTGGCGTAACTGGCGCGTGCCAAACTCCCATAATCCCAGCTGACAATTTGCAAGCTTAAAGAGATCAATGGACATTTAGGTATATCTCCGATATAATCGGATACTCATCCACGTGTGTGCCTGTATCAGACCAACCCGAGATTTAATGGTGAAGGGCAATGGACGATTATGAATCAGATGAGTGGATGAGGTTGTATGTTACACAAAGTTTGCAATAAAACATGAGTATATATAAATCACATAGGCGAAATCACAGCCAAGCGTCAATTGAAACGTGCTAATGTATTTCTTAGAGTATTTGAAGAAGGTTGTTTATTGAATATACGTACTAACGTAAGGAACCCTCGCTATAGGTATATCTTAGTTCGTATGTGGATCCAGATGGATGTAAGCTTCCCTGTCACAACGCGGTGCACGTAAACAGTAAATATCACTGAATAACTACTTTCATTCAAATACCATTTGCCAATTTACTACCATGTTTACACACTATGGTATTATGTTATAACATCTACTCTGTCGAAACAGTCCATAGGAATTTCATGCAATCTCTGGAAAATCAAATTTGGGGATGTTCATTGAAGGTAGGGTTATTTATTGTAACTATTGGCCATTACATACAAGGACGTTACGAACTAATTCAAGTATTAACCATATAAACGGAAAGTAGGTTCTTTGTTGATGACAATAACACAGGAATCAATAGTAGGAACGATAATTCATTAATAGTACAAGAGGTGAGATGAAGTTAAAACGGTCTAACGTCGGGTATCGTTGTTTGTACTAGTTGGGACTACTGTTAACACACTGAAAACCCTTGCCGCAATTTAACATGCATAACCTACTCAGACACAGTAACCATTTAATGCCGAGCACCAGGCAGGGTAACAACAAGTTACATCTTTTCAAGGGTCTTTTGGTCTTCAAGTTACATCTTTACAAGGGTTTTTAGGTATGACACGGCCGGGGATTGAGACACCGAGCTCTATCCAAAAGACCATCGATTCGATTTTAGACCATAAAGAACTTGATATGAATATGCCCCCATTAGTTGACCACCAAGAACATATGACTGTTTTCCTAGGCGACGTAATCGGTCGGGTGGTCTGTACTCGATGAAGTGATTCATCCTGTCCAGTAATTATGGAAGGAATGTAATTGTCATCACCAAATAAGTATCAAAGGAATGTGCCCCAGGAAACAAGTACCTTAATTATACACATTTTAAACATGAATTCAAAGATAATATTCAATTAACGCTTCTCTTGTAATGAATGACCATACCACGTATAACACTGCATTGACCGTGACCACAAGGACCGGTGGGCCTTTGGACCTGTGGCCATGCTCGTCACATGGCCAGCCTAAGTAATTAGTCTTCTCTGTGAACTTGTGAGAACGTGTTATTTGGGGTTAATTGGTTCATTAAAATTTAGTCAGTGGGCAAGTGAAATGGTCTTTAGAGCCACTCTCCTTTAATTAGTGTCATCATTAGTACACAACCACCATATCAGTCAATGTCTTTACAGAACACAATATTTAACCAATGGCACGGCCCCCATGGACGAGGTCAATGTCCTCTTCCAATGTCGCAACATCCTTATTTTCTATCATTTTCATATGTTCTTCACATAGAACTTCACAAGTATATGGTGGCACGGGTGGCCGAGTCGTCTAAGGCGCCGCGATTCGCTGTGCAGAGTTGCGTCCCTTGGGGACGCCAGAAACCTATCATTGTGGGTTCGAATCCCGGTTCGCCCAATTAAGTTTCTAGGTTTGTCAGCTAGGTTTGTCAGCACCATACCCGTGCTCGTGGGTTTCACCGAAGTGGTAAACGTCTAGGACTTGCATCACTTCGGGCTTTCCTCCCACATTAAGCTGACACGCCGTGATATAACTGGAATACTGTTAAAAGCGGCGTTAAAACCCAACTCACTCACTCACTCACTCACAAGTATATGATCAAAACACCTTTGCAACTCATTTAGGGACGTTATATACCCAAGGATATAAAAGTCGATTTCGTCATTGGCTCCAAGAATAAACCAAGATCTGAAAAATGACCAGAGTGGTAGACAATGAAGTGCAAAAGGGAATCCCTAAAGCCAGATATATAATTAAATGTTAGAGTGAAAAGTAACAATCAAGAAGATCCACATTGAGTTTCTGTCGTCGTCATTCAGCTCTTGCAATTACTGCAGCAATCTTACCATTCTTTTAAGACTTCCGAGGTGCTATTGATTGCACTTGTAATGCCCCCCTGTCACTCACGCGCTGCCTTTTTGTCTTCTCACAGACTGTTTCAGCA